GTGTCTTTCTTTGGTTTCCTTAAACTCTGGAAGTTAAAAGGTTATTTGTCTCTTTGATGCCGTGTACCCACAACCAGTTTTTCACACCCTGTTCATAGTATTTTACTAAAGTAAAAAAACATTTTTATTATCTCTTCTGCACCCATGTCTTCATTCTTTTCTGCCTCTTTGCTAATTGAGCCCAATCCTATTTCTTAAAGTTATTTTTTTTTGTTAAATTTGCCTTTCAGTTGATCAAACATTGTTTTAGACATGTTCGTCTCTCTGTACTTGGCTAAGCATAACCTTGCGCTTCAAGCTGAATTGTCACGAGATCTGAGTTTTCAGTCTCACAAGAAATCCATGATAACGTAGAAACAGGCTCAGTTCTAAACGTATCAATCTGGCTAATGTCAGGTTAGGCTAAGCAGGATAGAAGATCACAAGTATATGGACACTCAATTTAGAAAGTGCTGAACCTCAGAAAATCATAGTATTATAGCAGCTTGTCATATTTTGGCTCTTTTACCACTTTATTGGATGCATTTTGTGTTTTGTAGCAGAAAGTATTTAAAGTACACAGTGAAGGAGCAAAGCTCCAAAACTCAGCATTTGAAATCTTACCCTAAAGAAGTGGTTCTTAAAGTCTTTTTATTTATGTAGACCTTAAACTAGTTTAGCATTTTTCTAATAGCAGTGGGAATGTACATTTGTCTTCATTAATTAAAGTTGTTTTTCCCTTTAATGCTTCTGCAGGCCTGTGTGGAGGAAGCGCCTCTGGAAAAACCACAGTGGCCAATAAGATCATTGAAGCACTAGATGTTCCCTGGGTGGTTCTGCTTTCAATGGACTCCTTTTACAAGGTAATTAAACTCTGTAATTAAATCATTTGATTCAAAGCCTTTTAGCAATAAATTTGCAGATTCATTCAAAGCAATAAAAGGCATTCAATAACTCAATAAATGGTTCATTAGTGTTTGATCTGAAAACAAAATGCTGTCATGAATCATCTTCCACTGAATTGATCAACCCACCAGACCCTCCCATTAGATGATTTCAGCATGATGGAATAAAGGCGTTGCCTTTTTTTTCCTTTTATTACTTGCTTCAAACACTAAATTGAAAATATTAATCCCTTTAATATGCGACTAAAAGCGACAAATAGCGATGGACTGATACAGATTTCCTTAAGGCCAATGCAGGTCTGTCGGCAGGCATTATTTTTTCTTCCCCCATTTATATAATAAAAATTGAGCACAATGTTAAAACTTCTGAATTTTACCAAAAAGAAACATTAACAATGTAAAGCAAACTGAGAGATCTACAATGCATTCGCTTCATGTGATCTTAATGTAGGCGGCTAAGTGCACTATGAAATCGGGGAACACATGCACGTATCGGCCAGTGCTGGTAAAAGGGGAAAAAAATCTTTTCAGGACAATCGGCTGCTTGTGTCAGAGATGACGCTTAGAACAGCGCTTGCTGCTGTTGTGAGACTGTAAGATTAGCTTTGCTGGTTTTACAAGAAGTCGGTAAACTTTTGAAAAACGCAGAGAAAAGTCACTAAATTTGTCTCTTGTTCAAAAAAACCTTTTCTAAAAGGGTTTGTAAAGTCTCCAAATAGACAGGGTTTCCGCAGGTCATTAAAAATCATTAAATTGTAAAAATGTTTTAAATAAAGACCTTAATTGGCATTAAAATTCAATAAATGTGATTATTGGAAATGCTTTATCTATAGCAGAAAAAAACACTTTCATAAAAACCATTTTGTCAGATATATAGCGACATATTTGCACGGAACTGCTTCCAGTTTGTCGTAAAGCCACAAGTTAGGAAAAGAAGCTCGAGGCGTGAAAAATGTAGAGAATGGGAAAATGTAAATTTCAACAAAAGTGGCTGGCTGCAACCTGTCGACACTAAAGATGACAAAGTATTTTCATCTTATATAAAAATGTATGTAATATATTTTATTTATATATATATATATAAATTCTCCACAACAACTGATTTTTTTTCCCTGCTACACCCGGCAACGCTGCTTCGCTTCTTCTTCTTGTTTACTACTGGTGGTTGGCTTTGGTCGCAGTACCGCCACCTTCTGCTCTGGAGTGTACTCGCTTCGCCTATGAGAAAAAGGAGCAGCGCATGAACCGAACGCAACACACGCGAA